CTCCTCATTCTCCTCCTCCTCCTCCTCCTCCTCCTCATCATCATCATCATCTTCATCCTCCTCTTACTCCTCCTCCTCCTCATCATCATCAGAGCAAAAGCAGCCCCACCACGACCATCTTAAACCCTTCCAAACGTTCGGCAACCCTTCATTAGCTAGAACCTCTATCGCCATTTTTAACGGATACCTTTAACGCATCACTAAACATAAATTAGATCATATCGTAGACGAACTGTGCGCTCTACCGTAAAGATAATAGCCAGAGAAGAAAACTATTTTGTTCTAAAGAATGAAAATACAAGTTAGATCGCACTTGGTTTCTCGATAACTACCAATGCGTGTTGGCTGAGTCCACCAACCATACTGTGATGCTTCTCTTTACTATAGAGATGTCGTTACGTTAATAAGCGAGCAAACCCATTCTACGAGTACTGGTATTTTATGTTATACGTGTCTGGCTTGATGTCCAGAGCAAAAAAAAATAAAAAAAAATAAAAGTGTGATATAATTTTTAAATGTAATTTTTTTACGCCCTCAGCGACACAATTTAAATCATTTAGGTTGTTGGTGTCCGTCTCCTTCCTGTCAGGGCCAGCCCGAACTGGGAGGAATAGAGCACCCCAGCAGGAAGACCAAGGTACGTACCAAGGTAATACAAATTCCCCACACTCTGGAATCAAACTTGGGTCTCTCGCATAGGAAAAGCGAAGCGCAAAATCACTGAACCACAGAAGCCGTTAAAGTATAACTTCAGCAAAAATGTAAATATATGTTTGGATTGGCAAGCTGAGTGGAGGTATATCATACTCTTACACCATCAACCTTTTCAAACCTTTTTCTGTTGAGATTGAAAGAGGCATATATCTATTAACAAAACAGATTATATTTTTCACAACAGCAAGATGCGTGTGGTTGTAGGGTGCCACTGGTAAGTCTTACTTTTTTATGTCCCTCTGTTGTTTCTGTTTGGACTATTTTGCATTCTTCATTGCACTAAATGATCGTTATATTGTTAATGTGTTCCACTTCACTCAAACAACCAGGCGAACAGCAAGGCTTCGAGGAATTAACCACATGGTTGAAAATGCACAGGGGATTTAATTAGTACTCATCATCAGAGGAATTTCGTAAGCCAGCCAGGAAACGGAAATAACTCAGTGGGGTGCTTTGGGAAGTCTGAAAGTAAACGCTTACTGTCGTCTGCGCAAAGGTCAGAGGAGCAGATTATGGCACATTTTGCTAATGAGTTCCAATAAAAAGAACTCGGAAAGAAAGGCTAATCGATTGAGACCTAAGTGAGAGACGGAATGAACAAACAATCTAATAGTTTTTTCCCATCGTCACCCTGACCGTCGATAGTAAACACGTGAAGGAATGTTTGTTTGTGTGTTCATTGATTCCTGCCAGTACGGGCTTCGTGTGTGAGCTCTGAGGAAATAGGCTCCCAACAACACACGTGTGTAAATATGTGTGTTCACTAGAAAGAAAAAAAGTTCAGCGAAGCCTGAATAAGGTTAAGAGGCAATCCTTAAATCTCAAAACGTCAGACCCTTTCATTTGATCACAATTTCCCTATAAATTACCTAAATTAACAACATCTTCTCCATAGAGATAATTACAGTTCGATCAGGATAAAAAGGGATGGCATCCTAGAATAACGTGAGAATTTGAAGCAAGAAGAAAAGCTCGACAATAATTGGACAGTTGGAAATTTGGATGCGCCCATCTTTTCAAAGATATTTTTGGCTATCTAAACAATTAATTGAATTAAACGAAAATTTCATTTGAAGTTTTATTTAGTGTAAGAAATCGATTATATGTAAGATAACTAAGCCTATGCAGATGCAGTATCATAAAATGAAGATGTTAAAGTCCTTCAATAGACGTGAACAATTGAGTCTCTTTGCCAGAATCTTCAGTGAACATTGTATTTCGTTTTCCATTATTAAGCGCCTGCAGTGCCTCTAATCTAGTGGGACCATGTAGTGCAAACACGGCTTCAAACTTACACAATCAATACATTTTACAACGGTGCATACCAGCCGAAATGTGTAGGTTTGGGTATCTAGAAGGAAGTAGGGTTGATGCTCATCTAGCAGGTTATTTTATCTCTTGGTCTCAACTTCCAGATTTATAAAAAAAAAAATAACCAGGCAAAGCAAAGGGAATCTTTTGTAGATAAAAACAAATGTACGCGCACTTTCTACACAGGAAACGGCTCTAACGTTATCAAACATATGAAACTCTACTTTTCAAATGTA